GGATTGTCTTATGAGCAATCATCCCTGGCCCTCAATTTTGTGCTATTTGTGGTTGAGAAATCTGTTTACATCTGATAGTATCTCTCAACATGTTCATCATCATCGTGTGCATCTAAGTGTGTGCATGTGCATGTGTTCAAAGGCATAAAGAAACTGGTTGCTCATAGCCTTCAAACAGATGCTATCAGGATGTAGCAACCACAGGAGAATTCTAGGAAATAAAATCAGAGTCAAATAGAAGAAGTGCAGATTCTTAAGCAAGAGAATAGACCATTGATGTTCTCACTTTCCTGCACTTCCCATATTTTATTTGGTTTTTAAAGCAATGGATTATGGAAAGGAAAAGAGCAGAAAATGCCACAGTGTGTTTTTTTTTTTAAGCTGGATGGTCTGGTTATAACATTTTTCAACTCTTGCAGCAGTCAACTAAAGAATTCATCTAAAGCAGTGTTTGCTTAAGTTGAGAAGGAAGGGAGGGGGTGGAGGGAGTAGGTCATTTGTCTTCTGGCTTGTCTGTATTATAGGCACAGAATTCCCTACATAAGGGAACTAGTCTAAGTACTGGGTGTTTTTAACCTTGGCAGCATGTTGTGAAATGCACTACAGCCAGCTGAATTCTATTGTTGTTGCACTCTTTGGCCATAATTAGACCTAGAGGGACATAGGTGTCAAGCCTATATTTGGGAGAAGTTATGTTTGGTTTAAGAATATTAAGAACATTTGAATGTTCTAATAATATTCCTCAATAAATAAATAAATAGGAATGATTTAGAGAATTAATGTGTCTTCCCAGAAAACCATAGATAAAAATCTGTGAAACAAGATAAAATGAAATTAATAACTCCTAGCTGAAGCACTGAAGATTTGTCATAGGATAAGGCCTATTAAATGATAGAAATCTAAATTATGTTAAATACTTGATCTAAAAGCAGATAGGAACTGAAAGCTGTAACATCTATTGTTTGGTGCTGCTTAATATATCATTCCAGAAATGAACTGGTCAAAACTGCTTTGTTCAGTAAGAATCTATTTAAAGACCTGAGACATGGCAAATGGATTTGACCACAGTGAGGTCTGAATAAAATACTGACACATCTAATTTTTGGAAGAGAGAGGATGCTTGTCCAGTTGTCCAGTTCTTGTATCAGAAGTGTTCTTGGTCAGGAGAGAGGCGCAACACAGAGCCCTTCTGGTCAGGGATCATGCAGATGTAGATGTAGTTTGCACAAAGGTTACTCATGTCAGGCTCCGCATTTTCAGGCATGTTGTAATTCCTGGGGGACTGTTATTGTGGATGTTGTAATTGTGTTTTTTTCCATTCCATTGTTTTTAGAAAAGATGTTTTTTAAAAAGCAGCTGGAAGTAAAGCTACCAGAGTCCACTTTTTTTATGTAAGTGTTCACAAGGCTGTCCAAGAAGTGGAACGTTCATGTCTGTAGTATTCTCTTTATAAACAACTCAAACATTGTCTGTGAGGCTCTTCTGACCATGGAGCTGCAGGTTAAAACACGTAGTTGCAATTTTGACTCCTTTGCTAAACTTGAAACGTTGTGGAGGCGGGTATGCAGACCATGGGGGGAGAAAAAGCATGATGCTCTAGCATTTTGATTGAGATAGATAGATAGATAGATAGATAGATAGATAGATAGATAGATAGATAGATAGATAGACATTTTTGAGATGTAATTCCTTTTCCTATTGTCAGATTTAATGTAAGTAAAAAATAATCTACCAAGGGCAGAATGGAATTGAAACTTTTCTGCTTTCATACTAATATCTAAACTTTCAAGCCCTAATGTGGCTCTGACTGCAAAATGGGCAGCACCTTTTGTTTATCTCTGCAGTATAACATACTTGTTCACCTTTCCATGGATGACACAAGTTCTGAAGAGGTGAGTGAAAAATAAAAAGGAATCTGTCAAGAAACAAGTCTTTATGTCTTAGACAGTAGCATTTAGTCTTTATGTGCAGAGGAGCTAAATATCTTACAGTCTGAAATGTCTTGCAAAATCTAGCTAAAAAATGCCTGAAAGCACAGCCTTTCTTCACATACACATTTTTCATGTTTAAAATGGTAACATTCTGAAGTTGTGCGCAAATGTGTAGGAATGGAGAACAGCGGGAGATAAATTTTACATCACCTGTATGCCTGCAGAAATGAAGACATTAGCAGAATGACACCTAAATCCTGCAGCACACAGATCTTAAATGGACGTGAGAGCTAGTTAGCCTTACTCCTGCTGAGATAAGTGCCAAATGTAATTATTTTGATGGTCAATTTTCCTGAAGACTTCATGACCATTTTTTCTTGAATTTCTGTGTCTGGAGGATGCCACAGTGAATGGTAGTAATTGAAGCCTGGCTGGGCATAAGAAAAAGCATGTACACAGTGCCCTTCCCTGGGCATTCTTTCTCTGTGAGCACACTGACAAGTGCTGTTTTACATGTTTGGATTTTCCTCTTCTCTTCACTGCGTGGGTGGTAGAGACAAGCAGTGTAATGCAGAGGAAAGAGATGTAAGAATTTTCCAGCATAAGAAACAGCTGCTTCATGGAGCTTTTAATGTTACAGTATCTGGATAGGGAAATTAAAAAAAAAAAAAAAAAATCTGTCATTTAATTTTGGGAAGTAAGCATGGCCAAAAGGCTTTTAACAAGGGACAGTGCTCTGTTGACCGAGAACACCAAGTTGAAGCCTATGAAGAAGCTGTTGTCATTGCATAACAAAGGATTGTTTCAACTAATAGGAAAACAGTCAGATATGTTCTTTGATGATGCCTTAACTATGTCATACTTTTCTAATTAGTTAAATAGAATAAAATATGCTGGAACAAGACGGTCATCACTTACGTGTCAGGAAGGAGAGAAAGGAGGAGGGTGGGGGAGCCTAATGTATACAGCTGTGTGCGTGTACATGGGCTTCCTCATGGGAGTAGGCAGCTGTTCTGCAAGATGTTATGTAGTGAGGGAAATGAGAGTGATGAGCCCCATAAAGGTTTGCCAGGAGTTTTAGCTACAAGAGCTCTGCAGTGAAATAGAAAGGCATGGCCTTGCCCTATCATTTCGCCAATTACTTCATCCAAGAGACATAAGAAATCAGGAATGAAGATGGAGTCCCAGGTGGCCCCTGACTATGGAAAAGTGCCCAGTTCCTGGCTGCAGAGGCCCTTTTGAGGGGCAGAAGTTCTTCCGTTGGGTGTCTGAGCAAGGTGACATCTCATCCACTTTCTCCCATCACATCACGGGAGGAAATGAAGAAGAGGGAGACAGACCCTTTTTGGTTGTGCCCACTGACAGGGCAAAAGGCAATGGGCAAATTAAACCACATGAAATTCCATCTGAGCACAGCGAAAACATTTTTAGGTGTGAGGATGGTCAAACACTGGAAAAGGGTGGCCAGAGAGGTAGTAGGGTCTCCTTTTGTGACTATTCAACACTCAGTTGGAAATGGGCCTGAGCAATTGCCTAAGTGACCCAGCTCTGAGCCAGGAATTGGACTAGACTATCTCCAGCGGTGCATTCCCAGATCACTGCACTGTGATACTTGTGTGGTTACCCCGTGCTCCAGAAAGAGATGGGTAGAAGAATGCCTATTCTCAGGTAACATGCAATTCTTTGCTCATTCATTTGCTCATTCAAATTGTTACAATTTTTGCAGATGTAAATATGTTCAGACCTTAGCTCTTCAGTTTTTAATTTAGGAGTGTCAGGTTTCTGATTTTGCAGGAGTATTCTGCTATCTAGCTGCTATTTGGTATTAAGTCTGTGAGTTCAGTATCATGTAGCAGATGTCATCCTAAGCCATGTTTCCATGAACCAGAAGTGCTCATTTGGTCCTTTGGTTAAAAAATTGTGTAAAGCCATTGAATAGTGCCATACATTGAGTCAACATTGAAAATGTTTTTATTACTTTGAGCACATGTACATGTGCAATTAGTTCCTACTACTCTGACTCACCTGTTGTGGCCAAGGAAGCAACTCTCAATCAAGGTTTTTGTCACAGAAGCATGTTGCAAAACAGTATTATGATTTGGAAGCATTGTTCAGTTCTATTCAGCACTTACAAATCCCAACAGTCCCTAACTTTCTTTTGGAGTCTGAGTCTCCAAAGTCTGTTTGCTTTCATATTTGACAAGTTATAGGGTAAGGTTTCACATGGACAAAGTATATTGCCCATCTCGTCTTCATCATTGAGATAATAGTTAAGAATTAAGGTGATAAATCTTTTTTACTTTTAAGTGCAGTGAAACATCACCTAAAAAACAAAGAGATCTTACATATATATTTCCCATGTGGAACCAGTATGGCACAGAAAATAGATGAAAAAAAAACCCAATATAGGGACTATATTCTCTCTATGTTACTGAATATATATATTATGAGCATTGAAATACCTACATATGTATGCAAATGTTATAGATTACTGGTTTGATAGAGTTTTGAGAGTATTTTACAGGATAGAGTTAAGTTCAATGTGTTTTTATGTCAATAAAAGTGTCTGTTATTTCTTTTCACCCTGTTACTGACAGCTTAGTCAAGACAATTTTTTTTGCCCCTGAGGAGTAGGCTTCACTTGGCAAGGAAGTACTATTTACCTTGATATTACCTAACTCATGATAAGTGGCAGCCAACTACAGAGGGATAAATTTTCCCAGTTTGTCTCTTCCACTATAATCTATTTCAAAAGCCAAAATAAGGAACATAAAATAGTAAGAACATTAAAATATAAAGTACCAAGTACTTAGGTGGCTTCCCTGGTGTCATTAGGAATACTAGGAATACTAGGCCTAGCACACTGTCGACCCTAGGTATGGCCACTCTGCTTTTTGGGAAAAGTGAAGGAACTAACTGAGAAATAGTTTTTACTTTCACTTAGATGCACAGAAACAGACAAATTCTGTTTCTGTAAAAAACAGTGTACGTTTTGCTGCCTACTAGAAAACAATAAACAGAGAAGCATATTTTTAAAACTATGCAAAAGATAACTAATGAAACACTGTATTCTGGTTAATTCTTTATTTTCAACATCAAATACACTGATAAAAATCTTGCACCAATCAGGTAGCTTACCGGATTTTTTTATTTAAACTTTTTTAGAACTTTTTTTAGGTGCGAAACAAAAAATACCTCACCAGAACAAAGACATCAATAATTTCATATGCGTCAGGAAAGAACAGAATACTTCAACAAATACATTATGGCAGCTGAGCCTATTCCAAAGAACTTTCCATTGACAGACTACATAGTGCACACAAAAGCATTATAGTACATACAATAAGGTGATACATAAAGTGGCTTGATAATGCAAGTCTTGTGACCAGCAGTCTATCCCTTCATTTTTCAATGGGCACTTTCTGAAGAAATAGACTTATAGGCACACAGGATTACAGAGCATACTAATTTGCAAGGTGGCAGCATATTTTTTGTTTGTTTGTTTCTTTCTTTCTTTCTTTAGGCACGTTAGAATGCAAAATAATTTTATCCTTTTTTAACACAGTGCAAAACCTAATACCCTTTATGGGCAACAATCACTTTGAAAACAACTTTCAGGATATAAGGCTATCTACATTTGAAGGATGAAAGGGAATTATAAGTAAAAAGGGAAGGACATTAATATTAGGGAAACATTAACTTAAAACTCTCAATTCAAACTGTCAGATCAATTTGAGATTATGTTAAAATTGCAAGTGACAGCAAAAATTCTTTTGTATTATGATACTGTCATTAACATCGCTTTCTATTACATGTGTTGAATTTCTATCTCTAAAGCCATATCACAGTTGTAGATTGCATTGAAAACAGCCATTTCTTTATTCAAAAATAAGAAATGTACTTCACATAAGTTCAGCTGAGAATACCTTACATCCAAAATCCCGATAGTTGTAGATTGAGTTGCACTCTAATTTTAAAGCAGGATACACACAAGAAAGGCTTGCTGTATTCTTACCAAAGCCTGTGATAAGACTAAAGCCCTAGTGAGGCAGAATTTTTACTTTTTTGGTAGCTTGTTTACTTTTAAACATTTGGCACAGCTCTTAAGGAATCAGTTGGCATCAATTGAAATAGATTGATGCTCCAGTACAAACTCTGGCTTGGATGAAGGGTATTGTGTATTTTTTATCCATTTTATATATAATTATCTATTACCTTGGATGAAGGTTTGGGTATTTTTTGGTTTGGTGGTTGTTGGTTTTTTTTCAACTTGAGGTCTAGTGACCTCTTTGCAATACTCCTGGGAGCTCAATTTAGATTATTAATTATTATTATTAATTACATTTTTAAATTATTAAACCCCTCAGTGTACAGAAGCAGAAAAATCATCAAGTGATGTCACTACTGAAACATAATAGTAAATTTACCACAAACACACACCAAGAAACTTTCATTAAACTATTTTACCCCAGTACAAATCTGTCCCAACTGGGAGTTTTACCTGAGACAAAATCTACGACATCGAGACATGGCTCGACCACTGTATACCAGACTGGCTTTCACATACTGGAAACTGAGACACCACTAAAGTGTTGCGTATCTCCTATCTCCTCTCCTGCCTCACAAGCTTTTTGTAATAATTCAGTAACAACCATATTCTCAAGCAAGTTCATCTGGTCTATTTCTGTTTGGCTTTTGCTGGTATTACATTGCCTATGTTTCTAGAGGGTTTTTTTGGTTTTTGATGTTTTTGGTTTTTTTTAAAAAATCCACATATAAACATTACAAAATAATTCTTTCGTTAGCTGTCCAGAGGCATCACTATGAATGTTTTGGTAAAAGCATAATTAGCTGCCTTGAAAAGTTTTCTTTCAACTTTTTTTTTTTTTTTTTTACATGCTATATATTTTTATTTTATATCCAGCACCAGGTATTCAGGTAGTACTGGTTTGTCAGCTGCAAATATAAAGTATATATGTATATATATACATACCCATAAAATAGCATCTTGTGAAATAACAATTACCAAATGTCAGGCACAATTGTTTGCATACATGAGAGCATAATTCAGAACTACATATGAAAAATGTTGCCATTTTTGTATTGTAGACTTTCTTTAATCAATTGAATAGCTACATTCAGCTGTCTGATATATGGACAATCATCTTTATAGCTAACTCTGGGAAGGTTACTATATTTATTAAGGTGCTCTTCAATTAAAATCTCATGAACAAGTTAATGACATGGATCCTGAAACTGCCCCAATGTAAATTAATGTATTACTGGGACTCGTTCTTTCTAGGTTGCCCTTTGCCATTTTCACCACAAGCCCGGGAGGACTGGTTGAAGTTAAATTGCCTCCTTGCAAGGACCAAGCCTAGGAAAGCATTCATAGTTAAGACTGTGAGTGACTGATACTATTGTGTATGTTCCAAAACACATTATGATACCCTTCTGCCTGCTCCACACCACTTCAAATCATGCTTTTCCAGCTCCTCTGGGAAAATCTGTAGAGTGTAAAAGTACTGGCCCTATGTAGGTATCATCAGAATCTGATCCTCTGTCGTGAATTGCTCTTCACAAACCTCTTTCCCTCAAGGACAAATTTACAATTGAATTGATGTAATGAACTGTTCTGGGATGTAGGAAGGGAGGTGTTCATTTAAACCGATTTGCCTTCCAGCTTATGAGCTTGATCTGTGTGTTCTGTTGTAGAAAACACCAAGTTTCACGTACAGCATTTAAAGAGCAGCTCTAAAGCACACTAGGCTACAAGTGAACAAAGATGGTGTAAGCACATAAATTTAACTACAGAGATTCCTGTGCTGCATTCAGATCTTAGTGTGCACTCATTTCAAGGCATTCATGGTTTTTCTAACACATTTGAAAAACAGCTACTAAATAAACCCAAAACGTCCATCTTCTTTCATGGCATTTAGGGCCCTTCCAAAAGCTCTTAGGTACCAAATTAACACACACAGACACACACACACACTTTTACTGAATACACAAAAAGGCAAAACCTTCAGCACTTTCAAAAAAAAAGTGATACTATAATATGCATCAATAAAAGGCCTATTAACTTACAGTGACTGTCTCACATATTTAGGCTTGCACAGTTTTTGAGGAATCTTCTCAAATGTAGGTAGCATCTATCTTTAGACTTCCAAACTGTGCATATCCTCAGATATGTACATGAAACTATTATAGACATCATTATGTACATTCACTAAAGAATTCTTGACTTGGAGCACGAACTCATCCTATGCCTTGCTGCCTTCACAATTGCTATGTAACTTGATCTCACTGCACACAGACTCTGCTTGTGTGACAGGGAGTGTAATAAGAATAGGCACTCCTGTACAGCATTAGTTGCACTATTTCCTATATTTAGTTACTACAGGATATTCCAATCAACATAATCTAATATAAAGATTTCAACTATAGCAGCAAAAGCATCCATGAACCCTTTCTCTAGCATTGTGGCCAGCTGATGTGGAGCAGCCTATACATATGCTATGAAACATCCTCACTGGCAGGGTGGTTGCTTCCAACCAGCTATTGGAATAGTCTCTAGTCTGTGCTAACTCCCAAAATGCACCTGTCAAGCACAAGTGCAGATAGCACAGGCAAAGTATATCATCAGACTAGTAAAATATCCCTGGCATATGTAATAATCACATTCCAGTACCCAGCAACGTTCCCTGACATGTTTAATTTTCTAACATTGAGGCAATCAAACAACAGCACCAACTCCTAGTTTGGATAGCACATCATATAGATTTATTCAATCTCTCTCCTTCATGTCTTGTTGAAACTCTTGATGTGAATGGACCTTTTGTATATTTACAGTTTGTCTGAGGAATCAAACTAATCCTTAGGAATATGCTTGTGAGTTACAAACATGCATGGAGAAAAACAGGTTTATCTTCCTGGACATGCAGTCCCAGAGTCTTCACTATGTCTTAAGCTCATTGCCCAGTTCTGGTGTCGCAGGTGAGCTGGCTCACCTGATTTTGAAGCATGACACAAGAAGAGCCAAAGAAAGGCAAGGCAAGGCAAAGCCAGCTGCTCTGACTGTGATGCCAGCCCTCCCACACACAGATAAGCCACACTCTTCTGAGGGGGATGAGATCATCCCACCCTGTTGTGCCAGTCTTGCACTGGCATTCTCACCCCTTGCTTTGTAGCACAACAAAGCACAGGGCAGGGGGAGATTTTTTTATAAATAGTGCTGGATCCTGTAGATGTGTGAAGACCTTCTTTTAAAGACCTGATGACTTTTGTAATCATCTCATCTGATTCAAGAGTAATTATCTATGTTATCACTGTTTGCCATGTTGCCCTGGATTTACACTGTTGAGCATCAGAACAAGTTTGCTTTCTAGGATCAGAGAAGATCAGATGCATGCAATGCAATTTGCCTAGAGGATATGGTAAGGTTACCTAAAAGTTTGGTTAGAATGGGCTTGAGATGGAGTTGTCTGCTGATGTAAGCCAGCAAGGTAAAGCATTATTCTCAGACAGGGGTTCCTTTCTACTGTAGGAAGAAAAGAGGCAGGAATCTACTAAGGCAGTCCCTAGCAGTGCAGTTTCACTACAGCACATTGAGATGCCAGTCAGCTTTCTATTTACACCCCACAAAAACTCATCCAGAATCTCTACCAAATTGCTTCAAAGTTTCAAGCAAGTAAAGGATTAAGCGAGCTCAGGATTTTGGCTAGATATCAACAAAAGCTACCACTCATTGGAAGATACCAATATGCATGGGTGATATCCCCCATCAATTAAAAGTAAAATGAATGTACAGTTTAGATTAGGACTTATCAAACTTTTACGTGCAAAATTAAATAAAAACACTGCAAATTTTAGATCAAGTTAGCCTGACAATCCTTGCTGGCTGTCCACAGCAATGAAATGTCTTCCATTTAGGATAAGCAATCAATTTAGGTAACCGCTTGACAAACACTCAAATGGAAAATGCAGGTGTCTGTTGTCACTGGAGTGTTTTCAAAGGTGGCACAATAGACAAAATGAAGCATGAGCTAGGTAGTATGCTGCTGGGTTTCTCATACCGTTATATATTCTGACTTCTGCTTATATTGTATTCTGCATATTCTCCTCTTCTTTGCTGTTTACATAAAAAGACTGCAAGGAATGAGATGAAGCTGATGCAGTTGTCAGCTGGCTCCGGTTCTCCTCTTCCATTGGTGCAGCACTCCTGGCTGTTGGGGCATGCAGTCGGTGAGCGTCCAGCATCTCCAGCAGGAGATCGTAGAGTGGAACTACATTCTTACACTTCATATTGTACAGGTGCTCCATTCCTTTGTTGCTGTAATCAAACAACAGTTACTTTCCAAATATGCTATGGGGGAAAAAAAAATAAAAGCTACCAGCTAATAATATTTGTTAGTTTATATAAATTCTGTCTTGCACAAAACAACTAACTTAACAGTGCATTTGCTGTACACGCCTGCTACAGTAAAGAAGGTCGCCACCTTCAAAGAACACTGCAGACTTCTCATGGTCAAGTTGCCTTCCAAAGATGTCTCTTCTGCTCTCCTTTGCCTAAAAGGTAGCCCAGGGCATATGGACTCATAACTTAGCCACTGTGACTAAGTTGATGGCATGAATCTCACTATTCAAATAAAAAAATAACCAGTTTTCTTTCCTAGAAAATAAGCTTTACCAATTTATTAGCAAAAGCTCACTTGCAATAGTATCCATTCACAAAACTATGTAACAACAATTAACTTTACTGTGCACCTGGAATTTCCTTAATTGTACAAATTATTCTTAGAGGGGGCAAAAAAAAAAAGGAAGATTAACACAAGGACTCCACAAAATGACACAAATGAAAAAAAACACAAGCACACACCCCCTGACTTTTCCTGAAGAGCTGAATATCAGTCAAGGAGGTAAAATCCTCATGTTTCAGTTTTAGTAGTTATGAGTAGCTTACTCTGATTTAAATTTTATTAGCTGAAATAATGAAAATTAAAATCTGTGTAACAGCATCTCCTGTGCCTTCATAATAATAAAATATATACCACATCCTGGTATAGACTTATCATGCCACTGAGCAGCTACCTTAAGAGGTAATTACATTTGGGATAATTTTTGCTGCAACTATTAACAGTTTCTCAGCTCTCCTCTGATTAGCAAAAGACATGGTCCTTTAGATTGGAATTCAGTAGTTCTGCATTTATACTCATCCACACAATGAACATAATGACCCTAATCTCTTTTCTAAAGTGATTTACAATCAAGGCACTTGTGAAAATTGGCTACATAAAAGTAGTAGTTTTATTAAATCTTAGACTAAAGTTTGCAGAGCTAGACTACTGCTACATTAGTATTCTACTTGGCACTTTTCAAAGACCTGTGTTCGGGTCTGTTAGAACAGGTCCAGATCCAAGGGCTGAAGCGTCTCTCCCATGAAGACAGGCTGAAAAAACTGGGGTTGTTCAGCTTGGAAAAGAGAAGGCTCTGAGGAGACCTTATTGCACCTTCCAGTACCTAATGGCCTACAAAAGAACTGGAAAGGCACTTCTTACAAGGGCATGTAGTGACAGTACAAGGGGGCATGGTTTTAAACTTGAAAGAGGGCAGGTTTAGATTAGATGTTAGGAAGAAATTCTTTATGGAGGATGGTGAGGCACTGGAACAAGTTGCTCAGAGAAGTTGTGGATTCCTCAGCCTGGCAGCATTCAAGGCCAGGTTGGATGGGGCTCCGAGCAACCCCAGGGGGGTTGGAACTAGATGATCTTTAAGGTCCCTTCCAACCCAGGCCATTCTATGATTCTATAATTCTAAGACACACATAAGTTTAAAAACAGATACTGCTTTCAGCATTGACAAAACAAGAAGCAGAGGAAAAGACAACTAGAAGAAACAAATGGGGAAAATATTTACTCCTTTCACACCATAATCTAATGTAGAGTTTTGCACACATGTTCTGTACGAGTTTATGGAAAGCTTTTTTTCTTTTTTTCACTCCCACCTGTGAAGGAAAGGTATGCATGTGCATTTGTGACACCTCTCTTGCCTGGGCTTGGCACAGGAGTGCTGACTGTTTGCTCTCACCTCATGTGTCTGATGTGAGAGAGGATGAGGAGGAGCTGAGCCAGTCGTCTGTGTTGCTGTTGCAGAGAAAGACCTGACTTAGCCATTAAGTGAATCAGAGTGTCTGTAATTTTGTCCAGGACACGGTGAATATAGTCTTTTTCTTCTAGAGATTTCAAGGTGCTGGAAAGAAAAGTGTACACACCTGGAGTAGGAAGAAGAAAGAAAACAAACAAACCACAGACAAAAATTACTTTGATGGAGTCAGACTTGCCCAAGGTACACCATGTGGCTTGCCTCTTACGCTGCGTTAAACCATGGGAGCTGGCTGTGTGCCAGCTTTCCTGCTTGCCAGCAAGGTCACTGTTTTGAATGACTCTGCAGCGTGGATTTAGTCACTGTGGGCAAAGCAGGAGGAGGAATATTATGCCTCTTCCCTGCCTGGATCCATCCAAGATATGGACCAAGTGGTGGATGACACCTGCAGCTAGACCTAACCTTGGATATGCTCTCAGTCACTTGGCTCTGAAACTTTGAGGAGACGTTGTTCCCCTTGAGAATTCTTCAATACTTACCAACAAACCCAAGCCTTCAGCAGTTCTTGCCATTTTCTCTGTTGTTTAACATTTGATTTTTAGTGATTTGCTAGTCAGTCTGGGACTGCATAATATGTTACCACAAAACACATAAACAAATTCAGGGTTTGTTTAGACATGCTCACCTCAACAAAATCCTCCCAACCATGCAAGAGCCTTGAAAGATGTGTTCCTTCACCTGCAACCCGACTCTCCTTTAAAAGCCATGTCAAATTAGCCTTTGCAAATTTAGCTGTTTTGAATTGCTTACTTTTGAAAGTGAGCAGCCTCAAAGTTTGGACCAGATAGAAATTTTCCTAGAGGACAAAACACCTTGAAACTCCCCCTCCAACAGCTCCTAAATCTCCTACAAAACACTATAACCCAATCATAAGAGTTTTTGCCAGTAGTAATTCTTGGGTTCATGAAGCACATCAGCTTTCTAAATGGGAAATATTAAACTATTTTGAGCTGGTTTATCTTGATTTTTTCTCTGGACAACATCACACAGCCAGTGTGAATCAGGTCACAACACTGCACTGCCAAAAGGCAGCTGTTGCATTCAGTATCAGTTTTTAAATCTTTTGGACTGAGCCAATAACTGTAAACAGGTCATATTACCACAATCTAGTCCTGAGGCACCAGGATGTATGCACACTAATACAATCAAAGTGGCTTCATCATACTGTGTTCATTGTCCTGTGTCTATAACAGACTTGACAAATCCTGTGCTTTGGCCCCTCTGTATCAGCTCACAGAGCCAAGAAGAAATCTGAGGTTTTTCCTTGGAAAAAAATGGTTTCTGGAATTACACATTCTGTTTTTCTTTTAAAGCATCATATATATAGTGCAATATGCAATGCAGTTACTGATACTAATAAAAAAAGACACACACACTAGCATACACATGTAGACAGACATATACACTCTAGCTTGTTTGTAGCCTCAAACACTGTAGATTGTTTGTAGCCTGGGGGCTATACCACTGGATTTGAAGATGAGAATATTTTGCTATGCATCTGAGCAGTTATAGGAACTGAGATTTTTTTATCATTTTCTTGGTCTACTTCACTTCCCCACATCACCTGGGTATTTTGAGGACATGACACCTAGAACTACTGTAACCTGCAAGTAGGTTTTATGACACTGGGTCTTCTGTACTAAAAATAAATTTAAATTTGTGAAAATCATTGTGAGTGTCTCTGGGAGAAAGTCAATAGTTAAGAAACTGGTTTAAAAAAACAGAAGGATAACTCAAACATAGCACAACTTCTGAAAATCATCAGTTAGAGTTCTTAATTTTGGTAATGAATATTGCTTCAAATTTGATATAGACAGATAGTATCTCTTTTCTCACAAAGCTTTTTTGTAGCTGTTATTATTTTTACTGAAATGAATTCACCAAACAGCTCCTGGGGCTTTTCTCAGCTTAACCTTTCTCAGCTGACTCTGAACCACCCTCACATATGCCTATTGACAGTACCAGGCTTGATAGCTTAGCAGGTACCTGTAGGGGTAAGATTCTTAAATATTACTGACAAAACACAATCCACTAGGAGAAAAACATTAATCTCGTAAATCCACAGTGCCTTCAGACCAGCTTACTTCAGTCACAGAAAGCTATTGTGCTCTTGTAGCAATACTCCACAGTTCCATACCATTGAAACCATCAAAAGAAAAAAAATCTTTCAGAAGGAATAGTTTCTCACCTAGATCTAGTCCAGAAGCTATTAAAACCCATAAATCAAATAAAACACTCCCAAGTAACTGTAGAGAATTCAGGCAATTGCCAGTCAATAACTGCCAAGGAAAGTGATGTTTGGTTTTCCTTTCTCCATCCCTGCATTGATTGCTTCTGCCCCAGGCCACTGGTCAGAGATCTCCCCAAAAGAAATGATGGCTATCTTTCATACACATACACACACAAGCAGAGTTTTTGAACCAGAGTTCAGAAAACTGCCTTAGCAAAGTTAAATTTAACAGTCTCAAAGGTCTTTCCAGGCCTAAATTGAATAGCCACCAGGTTGTTTTCCAGCTCTTTCTGTAGGTCAGCATTGTAAAACATAATAGGAGCAAGAACAGAGAAAACACCACTCTACAAACAAGAAAGGCCTGTTGGTCCATGCCCATAACACATACCTATGCACAGAACAGGATGCCTCGGGGACTGCAATGCTACCATGCCAGCTCTTGGCATACGGTAATATAATTTGCCCTCAACATCTTTTCTGTCACAATAAACCCTAGTTTAAAATATCTTTACATTTAGAGTTCAGGCTCACAGAAAAATACCCAAGGCTCTGCTTCTTTCACCATGCCCCATCACTCCAAATCCTTAGCAAGCCAGGCTGAGCTATAAGGAAATTCGTCTCTGTAATCATTCAGTCCCCAAAATGAAGAAATAATAAAAAGTACAATTTTACAGAAACTGAAAAAAATCAGGAGAAAATAATAACAAGTGGTCACATGGAACAATGTATCAGGAGGTCTACAGAATGCATTAAATCAGCCAAACCTTTCCATCTCTTTGGACTAACCAGCTAACTAATCAGGTAAATAGCCCTGCTAAGGCAGACATGACCTCCTTCTTCATGTCCAATATGAAATCCTGTTGCTTTGCCACGTAGCACCACTGCCCCTTTTGGATACACTTAGAAGTGAAACATCTGGCATCATGTTGCCCTTCATGTTTCTAATACTTATTTTCCAGTGTTGAGAAACAGCCTTTTAATATTGAGCTGAATGTGGTTTTCAAAAATAAAATTTTGCTTTTTAGACAAAAGATTTATTGCTGCAGCTTTAAAAGAGCACTTTCTGGTTTGCTATTTAGCTAGACACAATGCTGTCCTTGTTGTTACAGACATGCTGTCACCTTGATATCTCAGGAAAAATTTTAAAGTAGTGTAAATGTATACTTTAGTTTATAAAAAAATCTTCCATCCTTTCCACATGCACGGAGTAAAACTAAAAAAAAAAAAAAAATCACTTGCATTTTGCCCAAGACCATGTGCCAAAAGAATGTAAAGATATTAAAGCCTTGAATGATACTGAAAAAAAAAAAAATCCAACAAAAGCAACAAACAACACTACTTCATGTGAAGAGACTAACAGATGTCCAGGGATTTAATAAAGAAATGTTTTTGTACACTCAGTGAATTAAATCCACACAAAGCAAATGCAGACTGCTTTTAAAAATGACACATAGCATAATTAGTCCAATTTGTTTAATTAGTCTACTTGTTGAAATCATTTTGAGATCTGCTGGTTTAATTGTATGCATATATAATACAGACAAAATAAGGGCCAGAAGTTCACTGTGTGTTTATCTGCTGCTTCTGCAGTAGAAGATTTGTGAATATTTACATATGCATCCACAGAATAAAATCAGGCTAAGGTAGGCTTGGAGGTCATCTTGTTCATCCTCCTGCTCAAATAGTGGTAACTTCAGGATTAGATCAAGCTGCCCAGAGCTTTGTCTGAGTTCTAAGTATGTCCAAGGACTGAGATCCTACCATCTTTCTGGCTAACCTGTTCCAATGCTAAACCTCTCATTGGGTAGAGTTTTTGCTCTTTCATCTGGTCAGAGTCTCCATTCCTGTGGTTCGTCTCCATTGCAGATTGACCTTTCCTCCTGCACCTCTGAGAAGAGTCTGGCCCTGGCTCCTCCATAACCTGTTCATCAGCTGTCTGAGTACTGCACTTAGACCCTCCCTTAGCCTTCCATTTTCCAGGATGAAGCAACCCAGCTTTCTTAGCCATGTGCTTCAGAGCACAGAATGTTTCATATGTGTATGATAATGGTGGATAAATATTTTCATTCATATTTATATAAGGCAGCTGGCTGCATTCTGTGAAGTAAAGCACCTCCATAAGAAATTTTAGGGCATCTATGCCAAACACCACTTACACAACTCTTAACACATACCCCAAATTATGCTACTTATCTCTTTATTGCAATCTAGCCTTCTCATTTGGGCATTTAAAGGGTCTAGCAGTCAGAAACTCATATCCACATTCCCACTATGTAGTAGTTAACTCCTCAGATCATTATAAAATGAGTTTTTTGTAAGAAAGCAAAAACTAAAATGTAGAATTAATTACCTTTGTGCACAAAGGCAGTGACAAGCAATACAGACATACATTCTATGGTCATATATAGAGAGAGATTGAGTTTACAGTGTATTGAGAAATACTGCAATGAGGGCAGCCTGTAAGCCAGAGAAATACATGAAGCTTTGTGTAACAATGCTATAGACTGCTTTCATCATGACCCTCTAACAGCTCAACTGAACCATGTCATCTGATCTATCACTGTCAAGACTTTTGTAAAAATGCCAGACTTTTGAGCAGCTATAAACTTTCATTTAATGCAAAAAAAAAAAAAGCCACAGTCAAAATCAGATCATTCATCATATCTTCAGATAAACCCTGATCTTCTGCCACAAAGAGTACCACCAATTTGAACCTGCTGAATAGGAACCCTGAAGGAATGAAGATCTAACATCTCCCAGCTGCATTCAGTGCAGAAGTTAATTACCTTTGAACATACTAGCTAAAATTATGGAACAACATCACTTTCCAGGAAGAATATTTAACTCTAGGAAACATTTTGTTTTAACTATCAGGGCAATAAAAGCAAAATAAAATGTCAAACAGTAATTACAGTTGTCACACCCTGACAACCAAAAACAACAGCACTTTATTCCTAATATGCTAGGTGCTTGCCTCAGATGTTACTTTTTGGTAATTGGTGACAACCACAACAAAACCTGAACTACATTATTACCTCACAGAACTTAAGTAAAACATTTTTATATTAGATTTTACAAATACATAATTTTGCTTGAACTTTGAGGAGACCACATTCAAGTTTCCATAATGAAAGAAGTGCTTCATCAATAAAGCAAAGTCTGCTGTGTTTAGCCTCTGCTGGGAATTACCTGGATTTGTTTTTCCTGCAACTTGGGCAAGAGATCTGATAGACAACTGGATAAAAAGGATATACAGTCCTTCACATGTGTTTTGTCTTGAGGGTCGTACCATCTACAAGTTCAAATCCAACAGGAAAGGGGAGAGAAAGTGGGTAAATAAATCCTCAGCATTTGGAAACTCTGGCATCTTTAGTCATTAGGTAACAACTTCTGCAGAGAATAGCGTCTAAAATTTTCTTTGGTGCATACATTATTATTTTAGATGTCTATAATTTCCATGAGAACACTGTGTGTCTCATTTCTGCACTTAAAAATAAATTGTTTGGATTTTTTTATAATCTCAAACAGAAAAGCATCCTCTGGTTTGCAACAGAAATTTTCTGTTATGTGCTTTGACTTAAATTTGCTTGTTTCAATCATCTGATGTAAAATTCAAGTCAGATAACCTTTCATATTTATATTTTTACCTATACCTACACTTGTTATCTAGTCACCTATTTTTGAAGTGTACTTCAGACTGAGATTTAAAGCCGAAAAAAATATTTATCAATACCGTAAAGGAAGTGGAAGGTGATGACATCCATTTTAGGTTACTATAATTTAATATAAACTGATAAACACTGATAAACTCAGTGACATTTTTGCCCTTATTTCCTTTCAGTTTTCCTTCACTAATTAAGTAAGGTGTAGATTTACACCTTTGGATGCCCTAAGTGCGGTTCCAGCTACTCCAGTGTCTTGTAACCGAAGTTTTAAGACTTGCCAGCATTTAGTTTGAAACACTGCTCTGATTACCGTCTGCATCAGCTCTATACTGTGTGTTAGCTGTTCACTGCATTAATTTGCTGGGTTGCATCTATATCACTGAACAGGTTCAACAGCTTCTATCCCTGCCTGACAGTCCTGCCTGCATCTATGCTGACAGTCCCCTTTCAAGTGCTGCTCTCTCAAAATGAAAACACTATTAACAACAACAAGCAGCATTCAAACACATGCAGAAGCAGCCACAATTACCCAAGTGACAGCAAAGCACACCGCTTACCAGAATTGAGCAGGATGATGGACTTAAGGCACACGAATTCCTCCCCTTGAAGGTTCATCATGCGAAATCGAGCAGCAGTAGCCAGCAGCATGTCAAAGATTTCCACCATGCCCTCCACACATTTCCCTTGATTCCTGTGTGAATAGCATCCATAAGGGAAAAAAAAAAAAAAACCCAGTATTTCTTTAGGTGAAGTTAGATACCTAGCTTGAGGTATTCACATGTGCAGGAATGAATTAGAAATTTCTGCTTTATTTTCAAAGTTAGGCAGCAGATCCAGCTCAACTGAAATCAGTGGGAGCTGCAGTAGCTCAGCACGTTTGAAATACAGGTTTCTAATCAAATGCATTTATTACCTAGGTTATTTGTCAACCAACAAACCTATCTGAAGCAGTAATCTCCAGTTCTCCTGAATTGTCTTCTACCTTTCTAACATAAGCTGATAATATTATCACATCTTAACAGCTATGTGTTTAGTTGATAGGAAGGCCTATCTATGAAGGCCTAGATAACTTTCCTGGAGGATAAACTAAGCAATAGATTTGAAAATTATCCTTATCCCACCAAGATGCTGTTGTCTTTGTGTACTCTCATCTTACTGAAAACAAGACAGCAAAATCTTGTTTCCTGAAAAGTGTCAGAATGTATTTTGAGAAGAATCCATAACACTTGGCTACTGGGAAATGTTTAGGAAAGTTAGAGCACTTGAATTAAAGGTCTTAAGTGACTGCATAGAAGTACTATGTGCATTAACTTTAGTAGGTCTATAGAATCACAGCATCATCCAGGCTGGAAGACAACTCAGGATGTCTTTAGTCCAGCCTCCCAGTGAAAGCAATGTCAGTTTGCTCAAAGCTTTATGAAAGTCCGTTCTTGAAAATCTCCAAGGATGGAGAATGCACAGCCTGTCTCAGCTTAATTATTTTCATCATCATGTTTTTTCCTCCCCTATATCCAGTCATAACATCCTCTGCTTCAATTTATAACTCCTGTTTCTCAGTCTCCCATCAGGCACATTAATAAAGATCTTTGATAACCGCCTTGAAGATTGTAGGTTAAGCAGATTTAAAATCCCCTCCTTCTCCAGACTGAGCAAATCCACTTCTTCCAGCCACAAGGCATGGAGTTCTGCCTTGGTGGCTCTCCACTAATATTTACTAAAGTTTACCAATATCTTTCCTGTAATAAGCAGTACAAAGCTGGATGTGGTATTCCAGATATGGTCTAATGAGTGCCAAATAAAAACAGGATAGTCCCTTCCCTTCTTATACTGCCTACGCTACCACTGACACTGGTAGCAGCACCAGGGCTATTCCACTGTATGTAGGAATAAGAACCTAGATTTTATTTAAGTCTTGGGGAAAACCCAGATATCAGAAATGTCTTTTACAGAAGCATAGGATCAAGTGAAAATTAATAGTGAAGGGTGCTTAGGTGAAGGGAACTGATACTCAAGGATTCAGTTGATGTTCTCATCAAACTTTTCATTCAAAGGGAAATGCCTTTGAAGTAGGACAGATGCACCCATCAAAACAAAGCCTGTGTATTTGTTATCTTTCTGTCTTCTTCTATCATGGTACTTAATTTGATGACAAGGAGCTGCCAAGAACAGATGGGATCCACAAGACAAGGAGAGGGAATGCCAATAATTTGTTGAGGAAGCCTCTAAAAAAGGCTTGTCATAGGATGTGTTTCTAAGCCTAAAGGCAGGTTAGGAAACAGGGGAGGTATCACTGAGAGAAAGCTGCAGGGACAACTTTCACACCCCCAGTTAGAAGGGAAGACATTCACAGACTTTGTGCTCTGACACAGAAGAGAATAGTACATCTGTACACAGACCTCAAAACAATAATGATCCTTACGTACATTTATACACATTTATATACATTTATGTAAATTAAAGTATTCTATATAAACTAGTTCTATTAATAGACACTAATGGAAGAAAATATTAAAAATCTGTTTTATAGTGATTTTCTCTTAGAGTTAGTCACAGAATAGCAGAGCTGCTAATATTGGTAGGTTGTCTGGAAATCATCTAGTTCAATGGCCTTGCTCAGGCCCATATCTTGTTGGATTGAGACCCCAAAACCTCTTCTTCTGTCACTGAGATGAATCTTCCACTGTTTCCTTTACCTCCCCCCTCCATCAGGTATTTATACACATTAATCAGATCTGAGTCTTCTCAGCCTCTCCTTATATGGGATACGTTTCAGTCCATTAATCATTTTTGTGACCTTTCACTGGCCTCACTCCAGTATGTGCGTGTCTGTCTTGTACTGGGTAGCTCAGAATTGGACACAGCACTCCAGATTTGCAGCACCAAGGCTGAGCACCCAGCCGTGCTGAATTTCCCAAAAAATTATGGAGCTCCTCCATCATGTTATTCTGTAAACACTTCTGTATTTCTGTGCATGCACACACTTAGGAAGGTTTACTACTAATACATTTTGTTGATTACGTCTCTCCTGTCCACATCATCCTGGCTTAAAGCTTCCTCACCAGATTGGCCAGTCTGTGGAAACTATGCTTGTGCCCCACTTTATGATGCTGATCCCATCTCCCCCTAAACATCCTTGATCCTCAGAGCACGGTTGCATGACCAAAAACGTTGAATCCCTGTTGTTGACACCAGCTATGCAACCAGCTGTTAATCTACAGGATCTGTCCATTCTGCCTCGAGCCCTTTCTCCTCAGTGGCCCCAGTGGACTGGACCACCTGGGCTTCCATGCTTTTGACCCCTGCCCTCAGAGCCAGGTAGTCAACCACGTGTCTTTCCTGACTAGTTCAACAGAGAATCATCCACCTAGGCAGACAGAGCAGGAGTAGTACACTATACATTTCAGCAGTGGTGAATCAAGTCTGAAATATGTAAACAATTAGCAACTAAGTACTTTTAATATATTTTTTTAAAATATAACGTGAAATGGATCCATGAATATGTCAGACAGGAAAAATCTCTCAAATGCCGCTAGAATAATTCTAAGAAAACTGATTATTTTTTTGGTCACATTTGACATGTTTAAATTAGAAAATTATTATGAAGGCTCTCCATTAGGGAAAGATGAGAGCTACAATAATTGGCTAAAGAAAAGTTATTCTGATAGACAGGAAGGCCTTCTTCAGTTTAATTTATATTCAGTCTGAATCACCATAAAGCCAAAATATATTTCAAAATTCCCTTCATATCAGAAATGCAGAGAAAGTTTAATTTTTGAATGAAACAGCATCATAATATAATGTGACCTAGAACTGGGGCCTGAGTTTCTGAGGTCAGAGTGACTAGATGAACAAGCAATCTTATAAGTTATGTAGTGACTATCTTGAATCTAGAAATTATTTCATTTTCTCTGAAAAATTCTGTCCTGTGCCTACAAATTCCCCAGGGGATCTTTTTCTAGCAGCTGAAAATTTTGAAGATCATAACAAGAGGGGGCTTTCTTTTTTTTTTTTTTTTTTTTTTTTTAAGAATTCATCCCTTTAAGCACTACCCAGCACCTCCCTAGACTCTGAAAGTGTCTACCTGATTTACATTTAGATTGTTGGAGTTACAGAATTGGGTAGTCTTTGAATTTTGCTCAAAGATACAGTAAAGGCTGATTCACGACAAAAAGACATTCATTTTTCCTTGTTTTAACACTCGTAATTCTGTCTCTTTTAATTTTTTTTTTCGTTCCATGGGGTCTACAATATAATAATACATCTCAAAATCCAACCATAAAGTGAAAGATGAAAGAGAAATTTAATTATTTCAACATATTCCCTAACCCTGTACAAGTTAATCCATCCAGCTCTATCAAGTAAGTAGAATGATGATAAGATGATGGTTTGAGTTGGCTTTTCAGGATGGAATCTAATGCTATTAAAGATGTGATGAAAATTAAATGCACAATTGTTTTTCAAATTTATTTTGAAGTGCAAATTTGGACATATTCCTATGGGCTTTTCCCCTTTGAAATAAATACAAGCAGAAGGTCAGTAAAGAGTCATTCTGAATCAAGCACCTGTGATCACTTTGCTTCCATTTTTCTAATAAGTCAGCGGTAATTAATACATCCACAATTACACAGTAACAAATGAAATGTGCATTTTATTCACATGACAGACAAGTGTGATGCCCTCAGACATTTGGAGAATTTTACAAGTTGAGGGACAAGCAAAACATTCAGATTTCATCTTGATATTCTTCTATTCTATCCAATTTTCTGTCTATCAAAACATCTGCATAAATAACTTTAAAAATTCTTTTCAGATGTAGTGAGAAACCTTCAGAAAAAAAGCCACAAAAGCAATAAATTATTCAGCCACCCTGTCATAAAGGGAATGCTGTAATTCTTTTTGCTGTTCATGATAGCTGCAGTTTAAAGAGACCCATGGCCTTCTGCCACTGCTTATTATGAAAGTCAGTAAAAGGAAAATGCTTCAATTTGTATTCAGAGACAATGAAAAATCTCCATCAAGCACTGGAAGAGGATGAGGAGAAGTTCCAAAATTAAAAACAACCCTGAAAAACAGACTAGCTCTCTCTGTAAAATGAAGGAAATAACCTGGTAGAAACATGGAAATACTGACTACATTTAACCAAAATTTTAAAAGTCCCTAGACAGATTTCTTGCCGTGAGACATTTTTTACAATCATGATAAGATAATAACATTAGAAAATAACATGAGGACAGCCTTACTGTCTCATATCAAAGGTATATTTAGCTGTGGGCTAAGAATATAGGCATTTGGATCTGCTGATTTTAAGTGACTACCTCTAGTTCTAGGTTGGAAGAGATAACAACTTGTGGATTACCACATATCTTCTCAACATGATCTTGACTTTATGCAACTCCTATCATCTTATTTTTTCCCTTCTTCTAATGAGCATCACAGGCAGAGAAGTTGGTTTACTTAGTTATTCTTTGTAGCAAAGCTTGTATCTCTGTTTGGTTGCCTATGAAACATCTCTGGGTACCTCTTCTAGTCTTTCAATATTCCTGTTAAGGAAAAACAGAAAGGCACTGTTTTCCAAGTACAGATGCAGCACAGAACTAAACAGAGGAATAACAATGTTCTGCATTATTTCAATTTCCTGTTGTAATGATTCTTGGGGGGAAGGAAAATTGCAATCTCTACTTTTAAACTGCT